ATATATATATATATATTTTAAATAAGAATTTAAAAAAAATATTTTTTCCATCTTAACTAAGGGTGAAAATTTTCAACTTAACGAAATAACATGACTCAAACTCAATATAAATTTTATGACACGAATTTGATTATAACTCAACAGGAACTTGAAAATGACCTGACACGCGAACAAAAAATTATAAAAGGCTCATATTCAGTTCAACCAATCAAACTCAAAATTGACACCATCAATCCGTTTATTTAAAAATAAACACTTTCTCTATTTTCTCTCTTGTATAGTAACACAAAATTAATATGAAACTAACATGTTTAACTAGTATTATAGATATAAAATGTTAATTATTTGTAACTATTTATTAAGTACGGACATAATTATTATATAAAAAAAATATTTTTACTTATTATTATTATCTTTCTATAAGTTAATATTTAGTTTGTAGAAACAATATTAACATGAATTCAATTAAGTAAAAATAAAATATTAGCTTTCAATTTTTAATTCAAATTTTATGTGAGTTAACACGAATACGAATACGAACACGAAACAAAAATAAATAGGTCAACTTGCAACTCGACACGACACAATTAGCTAAATGAGTTGAGTTAGGTTTAACTAATGTTCGACACAAATCTGTAATGACTCAACAAGAATCTGACACGACACGACTTGATTGTCACGTATAATCTTAGCCAGCATAACAAAAAAAAAAAATTAGTAATTTTTGTTTTTCATTCATCCAATCAAACACAAAGGAATGAAAATATATCATTCCTACTTTCCTTCCTTGAAGGATAGAAAATGTATCTCTCATATTTTTCATTCTTCACACCAAATGGAGCATTAGGAACCAATAATAGAATACAAGTTAAAGAATAAAATCTAGTGAAAATTGGTATTAAGTCCTCTTTAGGGGACTTTTAATGAATTTAGTTTATAACTTAAACTTATTTGGGAATAGGTGATATTTTAATCTTACAAATAAATATTTAAATTCATAAATTTTTAAAAACTAAAAAATACAGTTTATATAATGTTTAAACAACATTTAAACTACCTGTTTTCTAATTGGGAAAAGACTTTGATTTTATTCTTGAAAATTCTACTCCTTAAATCACGCTCAAATATTTTGCCAACAACATTTGTCCATAAAATTTGAAATTCAAAAACATGATCCAAATTTATGCTTCTATGATTGATTTAGGTATATAGTTTTTCATAGATCATAGTTGAAGCTCTTTTTGCCGGAGTTTTTGAGTATTTTTTGTCGAAATTATTGAGTGTAATTATAGGAATTCTTGAGTGCGTTTTATTGGAATTCTTGATTGTGATTACAGCCGGAGTTCTTTTTGCCAGAGGTCTTGAGCTTTTTTGTTGGAATTATTAGAGTGTGATTGTCGAAGTTCTTGAGAACGATTTGTCGGAATTCTTGAGTGTGATTGTCAGTGTTATTTTCATCGTGTACTCCTGCTAATTCACTTCTAATTCACAGTCGGGGTTCTCTTCTAGTTCAACTTTTTCAAGTCCGGCAATACCATTTGAGGTCAACATCTCCACAAATGTCCCAAAGAGATTCAACTAAATATCCTGAAACATGTTACTATTTTTTTCAATTCATGCAATACCATGTTACCATTTTTTTTTTGTATATGTTACTGCTCGTTCCTTTGTTACTACTATTTTATTGTGCATGTGACTATTTTTTTTTTCCATGGTACAATATTTTTATTTAACTATTTTTTTTTTATTGAGCATACTATTATTTGATGTTAATATTTGTTGTTGACATGTTACTGTTTAATGTTACTATTTTTTTTGAGAATGTTATAAATATTAATATTCAATGTTATTATTTTTATTTGAATGTTACTATTTTCTCTCAATGTATATNAAAAAAAAAAAAAATCTCATCACGCCAAATGTTGTTGAGCCGCCCCTGGTAGACAGATACAAAAAGTAGTCTTAAATAACGTGTTTGATCAATTTCTTGCAACAATACATTTACTTTGGAGATATATTTTCATAACTCCTTTGTCAATATCGAGTCATTTTCCGTTCATGCCTGTGGGTTTCCTCCTTGTTAACTCTATGGTCCATGTGAGAGATCACCAAATATTTCTGTCGTTATATAGATTTGACAAGTTAGCTTAAAACACCCTTTTGGTTAGATTTGTATTACGTTTTTTTCTCACAAGAAAACTAAATTGTTACCGATGGCATACGAATATTACCAACAGGAAGAGATAATGAAAGTAAATTATTGGTTTGTACATAAATACCGAGTTATAATTTTATTTTGGACATGTTGATCAAAAAGAATATCAATTTTAAAAGTTTCAATAAATTTATTGATTTTTAAAATCACCAGAAGAATTGAAAAGAAAAAATTCTCTCAATTGTAAATAATCCAAAACTGTTGAGCTCTAAAAAAACTCTACAAGAGTATAAATAGTACTAAAACCCTAAAACAAATAAGAAAATAACAAAACCTAGCCTAATTATCACTAATTACGTAATTAAATCAATATTACAAATTTTTTCAAAAAAAAAAAGAAAGTTTAAAACTAATCATGCGGCTAAAAATTGCTAATCACCTGGATTAAGATAAAATTGGCAGCAATCAATTATGACTTAGGATGGTGAAGTTATTCAATTATAAAATATTACAGAAAAAGACAAAAATGCCCTTTTCAGGCCCTAAATGAAGAAATTTAACCAAAATACATCCTGGTTCATCGCATCCCCCATATGCGACGAGAACAAAGGATGTGATGAGTTCATTTTGCCTCATTGTTTCAAAATGGACATGGGTATTTCGAAACCTATGTTTATGAAAGTGACTCTGAAAAAATCAACTCATTTGCCCAACTCGACTTACTCCAATATCGATCCTAATAATCCAAGTAGCGTACCCGCTATCCGATTTACATCAATTTCTCTTCGATAGTATCACAGAGAGGTCCAAGTAAGCCATTCAGATTTTATGAAGAGTTTGAAGGCATCAGCTCCCACCCCCTTTAAAGTCTAAATCATTGGTAATTAGGTTAAAGGATAGTTTTTTTTTTTTTTTCCTTCCTGTTTTAGATTCTGTCTTCCTTTCCTCTGTACAAAGAATTAAAGGGGGGATATAAACATTTGCAATTAGAAGATACTTTAATTATAAGCTGGTCATTTAACTCTCGAGGACAGCAAAACAAAGTTTGATTTGATAGATTCATTTAGATGACAAGACTTCGGTGAATAATATNTCCTGTTTTAGATTCTGTCTTCCTTTCCTCTGTACAAAGAATTAAAGGGGGTATATAAACATTTGCAATTAGAAGATACTTTAATTATAAGCTGGTCATTTAACTCTCGAGGACAGCAAAACAAAGTTTGATTTGATAGATTCATTTAGATGACAAGACTTCGGTGAATAATATTTTGAATGTACCAATAGACCTTTGGTCTAATGCTATTCCCCTCTCCCTCCTCCCCCTCCTTCCAAAAAAAAAAAAATATTTTGAATGTCCAAAGTCTCAAAAAATAAAAAAACATCGTGGTTTAACCTGTGATTTGGGGATGATTACTTGCATCCCCAGCTTACGTGATAGTGGTGAACATTGCTACTAAAGAAGGNATATTTTGAATGTCTAAAGTCTCAAAAAATAAAAAAATATCGTGGTTTAACCTGTGATTTGGGGATGATTACTTGCATCCCCAGCTTACGTGATAGTGGTGAACATTGCTACTAAAGAAGGGAGATGGGAGCCTCTATCGCAGTTAGGTTCCCTCATGACTCTAGTTTTTGGTATATGTGTTCTGAGAATTGAATTGTACTATCACTTGTCTTACTGTGAGGTTGTGTATCGTCAGATGTCCAATCCTATAATATCTAACTGGATTCGTAAATATTGAACCTTATCTATTTCCATGATTGTGCATGGGCTTGTAGGAATCAAACTCATAGGAAGCAAGAGAGCCAAGAAGGAGGGAGCGAGAACCAGAAATATTCATACGACGAATCCGAGCCCCAATTGGAGTTCGTTGCTTGTTGATGTTAATGATAACTTCATCTACGAATTTTTTTGGTAGCCATAATGAGTCCAAAGGGCTCGTAATTTGGACAATTATTTANCGGACTCAAGGAAGCAAGAGAGCCAAGAAGGAGGGAGCGAGAACCAGAAATATTCGTACGACGAATCCGAGCCCCAATTGGAGTTCGTTTCTTGTTGATGTTAATGATAACTTCATCTACCAATTTTTTTGGTAGCCATAATGAGTCCAAAGGGCTCGTAATTTGGACAATTATTTATTTTAAAAAGAGCAATGTTATAGAGACCTTATTTGGAGACCTGACTTCAATACAACTATTAGATTAGTTATGAATTCTAATGTTAAATAGAACCCAATACCAATCCAATAATTGTATTAAATTATGTCATTAGATTAGGTCCCTAAATTAAGTCCAAATAACATTTTCTTTTTAAAAAATTTATCTAACAGAAAACTCAATGGACCTTATGTTGATGAAAATGTTGAACTAAACATTCCAAACATAAATCATCCACATAAATGCAAAGAAAAGGAATCATAAATAACAAAATGAGGAATATAAATTGCAGTTTCATCGCTGTCTTTCGATACATATAGTACTTGTAAGTAAATCATTTAGCATGAAATACATTTAGGCTAAAATAAAATAAAATAAATTTGTAGAAAAACATGATGATCACAAAGCTTGAGAAAAGAAAAACCAGGAAGAATTATATATATATATATATATATTTTAACAAACAGCCCCCAAACTTTTCTTTTATATCTGCATAAGCTCTTCAAAAATCTTCATGGCAGGAGCTGGCAATCCCAGAAGCACATTGATGCTTTTCCTCTCTTTTCCATGAGACAGGAACAAAATCACTTCTTTTTCAGGCAAAGCCACGGGCCCTGATAGAACAGGCTCACCCCAACCAAAGTCAGTGGTGTGAAAAGATAGCCTAGACCATGTAGTAATCAGAAGAGTTGCTGATAAAGAAGGCCTAGCTCTTGTAACTTCAAAATAATCAACGGCGGATCTCATGTAATCGTCAGTCACCAATTTGACCGCATCCTGGACTAATTTCACTGTGAACGATAGAGGGTTTTCAGTAAGCTCACCCGCGCTGCAGATTGAATTGGTTAACACAATTCCATTGCCAAAGTACCCTTCTGGGAGAGGTGGGTTGAATCTAGGCCTTCCATCAACAGCAAAGAGGAGTTTTGTTTGTTGCTCAGGCTTCAAGTTCAGTGCCTGGCTTCTAGCTCTCCAAACAAAGGCTGACAGGGCTTCAAAAGTGGTGCACTTGGGTAGAGTCCCATCTTCCATGGCTTTGATCTTGAGTTTTTCAAGTTTTTCGGGGTCGAAACAGAACAACCTGTAGAGCATTTCTTCTTGGTAGAGATTGGCAGTGTTTGATATGTCTTCAATCTCTGCAAATTCATGGTGTGGGAACTCTATCTTTGGTGGGTTTCTGGCTTTGAGAATGCTTCTGTCTACATATGGAGGGACTGGCAGAGGCAAGCCTCTGGCAGTTTGACCCCATGAGTTCACAAATTCCATAGCACCAAGCCCATCAAACATACAGTGGTTCGTGCATAGCCCAAGAACAAACCCTCCACATTTGAACTTTGTCACCTGGAAGACACAATTTGTGCTAGTTTAATAATCGATTTGCCATAAATGAGAACAGAGAATAAACAAAAAGCAGGGCCAGTTGTTTTTTTTTTTTTTTTTTTTTGGATAGAATGGCCGGGTCAGCTTATCTGCACTTCGATGAATTCTCTCTCCGATTCGATCAAAGGCTAATTATTTACGCCGAGACTAAGGAATTCATGAGAGATAAATTTCTCGTGACTTTACCTTAAGAGATTATCAAGATTTGAACTTAAAACAACTGGATTCACAATTCGTTCCTATTACCACTCGAGGGTTAGGGCTAGTTGTTTTTATCATTCAATGGTAGTGCCAGAATTTCTTTTTTTGGAGACAAGCTAATGAACAAGTTGGGATATTAATTGAGTCGACTTTGGCGAGCTTGAGTGTGTTCAAATACAGTTCAATTGTGATTGGCTGAACTCAAGTGCTGAAATTAGATTCTTACCCAAACTCAACTCAGGCAGAAGTTTGCAAGCATTTGAGCCAAAATAAATAGTATTTTTGGTCTCTAAAGTGTGCATATTTTGACAGCTTTGATTCGAAAGTATCAATTTTATCTTTGATCCCTAAAATATTCAATTCGTATTTAAATGATCCCTATATAGGTGGACCGTTAAGTTTTTTACGAAAAGAATACATGTTAGACACATGATACCATCTAAAAGAATGACACATGATCAATTTAGTCAAAAAAACTTAAGGAATTGTCTGATCAAGGACCAAATTGACATGAATTGAAACTTTAGGGAGCAAATTGAGAATTTAATATAATGAGGACCAAATTGATAAAATGAGCATATTTTAGATACTAAAAATGCTATTAATCCTTTAAGAAATTAAATACTAAAAGCTAATAATAAATCCTAAAAATAATCAAATCTTAATAAAAAATCCCTCAAAATCTATACAATCAACAATAAAATCTAATCCAAAAAGTCTGACTTCACAAAAAATTTATTAGAGGAGAGACACAGAGATATTAACCAATATAATCAGTAGTTATTTGGGAAGAAATTTGGGCATATTATCTATATACACATGAATAGTCAAGGCACAGGTTGTTTGAATTCTGTTCGTTCTTTGAAACAAGCTTAAACATATAACCAAATTAGATATATTTTAAAATTTTACGTCAAACTCGAGACAAGTCCAAAAATTAAGCACAAACGGCTCGGATTATTGAACTTCCCTATGAACACAAGCACGAAAGGGCATACTACGAGGGTCTTGTTATTGCGAGGTCTAAGGTGGGTTAAATGTACACAATTCTACATATGTACAAAACTCAAGCATGAGAAATGAGAGAAAGCTAACCTGGGCCATCAGAGGAGGAATCTCAAGTATGTTCTTAGCCGCAGGAATGTCATAAACCAGCTTCCCAAGAGTTACAGGATCAGGCTTTGTATTGTCACCTATCTCTTCCATCCTACAGTTTGCTTCAGCCTCAACAAACACAGCACCTTCCCCACTGCAATCCACTATAAGCTTCCCTTCCGAGCTTATCGTAAGCCTCCCTGCAAGAGGGTAATAATGAACAAGAACTTTAGACAAGGCCTCCTTTATCACTTCCACAGCTTTTTCATTCCCTTTCTCCTCCGATTTGAAGCAGTAAATGGTGCGAACGATCACCGCGATGTTCTGGTCGAGGTTGGAGAGTAAGTACAGACCCTTCTCTGTCTCCTCCGCCGGAGGAACCAGAGTTGGCTCTCCTTGCTTTACGACGAGCTCAAAGGCAGTGTTATTAGGTGTCTCCATGGATGAAGCTTCTCAAAAGGAACCAAACCCTGAGAGAGAAATGAAGTAAGTTAGTTGTAGGTATGGAAATTGGTATGTGTTTGGTGCACCCAAAAGCAATGTGGGATTATAAACTGAGTTTTTGATTGTACCACCATCATTTTTCATCTTTATTACTAGTTTATGGGTGAGGGCAGACATTGATGCAATAGTATGGTTGCTCTGTTGTGATGTGGTGCTCACAGATATGAGTTGTGGAAACAGTGTTTTTGCTTATTGAGGTAAGGCCCGACCTTGATGATAAGAGTCTTGAACACTGAGTATATCATTTTATTATTAGTTTATGGAGTTTTTTTTTTTGAACTTATTTACATTATTGAAGTAAAAATGTATTTCTATTAAGAGCACATTTGTCAAACATGTTTTTACGTTGAAAACTTGCATCTGAACTACGTTTTTATATAAAGGGTAAGTCAAAAACTATGTTAAGATGGCAGTAAACTGATAATAAAGACTTGGATGATCGCACTAATAGAGCGCACTTTACAAGCACGTTTTATATCTAAAAACGTGAGTTTAAACTATATTTTCATACAAATGATCAACTGAAAATAAAGCTAAGAAAGCGAAAAAACTTTAAACTATGATGAACTTAAAATCGTTGAGGGAGAGCTTAATTTCACAAGAAATAAAGACAAGAGATACATTATCATCCAGATATACCTGTGATGCAGGAGTGTTACGACAATGGCTTGGTTTGAAGCTGAGAATAGTATGCTTTTTGGATTGGGTTAGAGGAGTTATATAGGAAGAGTTGTGATAGAAATATTGCCAAATGTAAGTTTTGGTTAACAAAAGATGTACCCATGAGGTTGACAGGTGCTGATGATATTATTCTGAGTAATGTTACATAGATTTAAAAAGTAGACTTAAAAACTTGACTTGATAATGTCAACCATTAAATAAGTAGTGAGTCCCAATAAATGCTAAAATTTACAGTGAAATCAATAATTGAGATTATCAAGTCTAGTTTTTAAGTCTACTTTTTAAATCTATGTAATATTACTCTATTATTTTGTGCTCCTTGGTACGCTAAGCTACCATAAGGGAGGTGNTAGATTTAAAAAGTAGACTTAAAAACTTGACTTGATAATGTCAACCATTGAATAAGTAGTGAGTCCCAATAAATGCTAAAATTTACTGTGAAATCAATAATTGAGATTATCAAGTCTAGTTTTTAAGTCTACTTTTTAAATCTATGAAATATTACTCTATTATTTTGTGCTCCTTGGTACGCTAAGCTACCATAAGGGAGGTGAGAGAGAGAGAGAGAGAGAGAGAGAGGTTTCAAGATCTTGTTTGAAGATGGATAAATTATATATTGATCCTTTTAAGTATTGCTTTGGTCTTACTTTGTCTCCTCAACTATTAAATTTTTTACATTAGTCCCTCAATTGATATGATTTTGCATACCACATAATCAAAAGTTTGTCATGTTTTGGGCAAAAAGACTACCTGAGTAATAAATTTCGTGACTTTAGTATCTAAAATTGGAAAAAAATTGGGTGTAACCGTTACACCATGTGAGCAATATTATGTGATGTAACAGTTCACTAATAGATAAATAAATCAACAAATGAGTCCCATTAAAACTCATAACTATCCAACTAGATCATACATAACCACCTCCTCCATTATACGAAGTGAGCTTTTACCCTTTTTATTCTTTTCTTATTGGATAATTACACCATGTCAGCATTGTTGATATTGTATAACAGTTATACCCAATATTTACTCTTAAAATTGGATTATATGAAATCAATAATTATAGTTAGAGGTGTAATGCAAAAAACAAATGTGGTAGTTTAGGATGCAATATAAGATGAACATACAATAGAACTTAAAAGTATAATATAAAAAACATGATAGTTAAAAGCGTAACGTGAGATTGGGGCTATAATAAAAGTGGTCAAAGTATAATTTTCCCTTCGAAGATTGGTTTTTTGGAAGATTCTGCTCTTGTCATATGTTGGGGGTAGGCTACTGGCCATGGAACCAAAACACTACCAGCCAGGATGCGTGGCGTAGGAAGGGGAGGCTGTGGGGGGTGGGGGTTGGTAGGGTTGGCATCCAAATCTTGGTGACTTGATCAACTCAAAACACAAAAATTATATAAAAGTTGTGTATTTGGTATCCAGCTGTCAACGTCTATCCAATTTATTTGTTTTGGCATGACAGAGAGAGCTAAGATTATGATGAAATTATATATGAATGCGATGGTTGACCCATGAAGTGGCTAAACATTTGACAAACAAGGTGTTTGATCACCCTTTTTAGTTTGCTAGAGTGACAGATTTGTCAATTGGCTTTAACTTGTGGTACATGCTATGTTTTTATGTCAGTACACTAGTTTGAAAATCAATCTTCTCATTTCAGCTCAAATAGTAATAAAAATGGTTCGTTGAAAATTTAAATATTTTGAATTTGAATATTAATAATCTTTTAAGGTCAGATCATGAAATATTTATTTATCATGAATATCATATTCCCAGTGTAGATAATGTCTTTGACTAAACCAAGGAAGAGATTAATAGAGATGCTCATAAACTCTCTCGGCTATTGAACTAAAAAAAAAACAATCTTCTCGGAATCACTTGGGCAATAAAGTTTAAGCTTTATATCCTATTTTAAGAAAGACCCCATAACTTTTAAGTTCGTGTAATAATTCAAACAAAAAATTCTGAATTCATAAGAAATTGTCCCACTAAAAAAATAGATTTGAACTCAAACAAAAAATTTGAACTTGAGTGGATTNGACCCCATAACTTTTAAGTTCGTGTAATAATTCAAACAAAAAATTCTGAATTCATAAGAAATAGTCCCACTAAAAAAATAGATTTGAACTCAAACAAAAAATTTGAACTTGAGTGGATTGAGTTTATTAATTTAGCCCATAAAATTAAAATACACTAAAATTTAATTTTTTTGAAAAAAAAAAGGAAAAAAAAATAGTAAAACTAAAACTACTAAAAATTAAATATTAACCCCCCAGAAAAAGTCAAGTTTAAATTTACCATCATAATTTTTCAATAATTATCCCCCCTCTCTTTTATCATCAAGTTCAACTATTATACCAAAAGTTTGAATATAAAACTTAATTAATATTTTTTTATTTTAAAAAATAAAAAAATAAATTTAAAAACAAAAAATTCCCATATTTTAGGCCTCAAAATATCTCGGACAATCCTNAGGAAAAAAAAATAGTAAAACTAAAACTACTAAAAATTAAATCTTAACCCCCCAGAAAAAGTCAAGTTTAAATTTACCATCATAATTTTTCAATAATTAGCCCCCCCCTCTCTCTTACCATCAAGTTCAACTATTATACCAAAAGTTTGAATATAAAACTTAATTAATATTTTTTTATTTTAAAAAATAAAAAAATGAATTTAAAAACAAAAAATTCCCATATTTTAGGCCTCAAAATATCTCGGACAATCCTGTCTGTACGTTGCTCACGAGTTACAACTTTTTCAGTTTGTAGTACCCTCCCTAAAAATGTTAACCTTTATTGGCCAGAAGAGCAATGCACCATCTGAATTCATACAGCTTTAGGGAGCAGATAAATTTTCATAAAGAGGAATAAAAAATTATACTGAGAAAACCCNCTGAATTCATACAGCTTTAGGGAGCAGATAAATTTTCATAAAGAGGAATAAAAAATTATACTGAGAAAACCCCTTTTAAAACTTCAGGAGCAAGAGAGAAAGAGCCTTGTCTTCCTTTTTTGTACAGAATTGAAATTATTATTATTATTATTTTTTACAGTTTCATCTTCATTATGAGCAAAATTCAGAGATAGCATAAGATCCTCAACAGAAATTACGTATTACCATTTTTTGTATTCCACAAAAAAAATGGTTTAAAAATATCTTTTAAAATTAACAAATTGTAGATATTTTTCCTGCGCTACTATTAGAGTTTGGGAGTTGGATGGTGGACTAGCGATCGTGGTAAAGCCACTGCCTATTCTAAAATTAACTTGGAGTCGAATCTCACCGCCACATAATGGTAACCCTTTTTCTATTCCCTTCCATATAAAACTAACCAAGTCATAACTTCTTTTCCCTCTAAACCCTACAAAAATTCTGCTAAGAGAGATTGTTTATATTGACAACCTTTCATGCATGAAATAATAACTGCTCAGTCATTCATTTTTCATGCATTAAGTACAATGCAGGATTAAGTGGTTGTGGCATTTTTTACCATATCGCCACACCTCAACTAAATGATTTAGGCATTGAAACATTAGAATAACATGAATTAATTTAATCATTCGCGTTGATTTGAGATATGAAATTTGAAAAAAAGAATTTGCAAAATGTAGCATTATTCAAAAAATAGTCTATAATCTTAAGGGTAGCTTAAGTGGTAACATGAACGAGCTATAGACCCAAACATTTGAGTTTAACTTTTGACAACCTCTTGGAACCAGGCTATGAGNTAAGGGTAGCTTAAGTGGTAACATGAACGAGCTATAGACCCAAACATTTGAGTTTAACTTTTGACAACCTCTTGGAACCAGGCTATGAGGGATTTATACCTCATTAAAACTCTAGTCTTGACATGGATGATTTGCTTTTGACCAAACCAAGGAGGAAATTAGCTAAAGTACACGTAAACTGGTATCCTTCATGAATATGTTATTTCTGACATGAATAATCTACCTTTAAACGAATCACAAAAAAATATTAGTTAAGATATACGTAAACTAGCCCAGATGTATTAAACCCAAAAAGAAAGAAAAGAGTCTATTAACGGTTGCCCAAAGCTAGACGACAATAAAGGGCAAAACGTGACACGGTGGATGGAGAAAAGTTGGCAAAAAGGTGGTAAGAAGGGGGGGGGGGACGAGTAGCGATGAACACTCTCCTTTTTTTTCCACTTTTTTCTTGTTCTTGCCCTAAACCTTTTCTTACCCATCTTTGACCTGATTTCTTTGCATTTACTGTGTTCCTACCCTATAATCTATGGAAATCGATAAAAATTTAAGGCCTTTTCCAATCAATTTTGGGTCAATGGTTGGTGAATCACTAGAGAATGGCATTAATGGCAGCCCTAGAGTAAGCCTTGGTGTGAATCCTTCGGTAGAGGGTACAAATCCAGTCAATATAGTAGAGAAAATCTCTACTCAAACACAAGCATAACTGAGAAGGACCTCACTGCTTAGCCCAAGTTTGTTAGAGAAGAAGCTATCGAGTTAGTGACAGAGCATAGCAGGTTGCAGAAACTGATTATTGAGAATGATATTCTCAAGCATTTATTTGAAGCCAAAATGGAATACCTAGGTTGAAATAAGTCTCAAAATAGGCTTAGTAGTGGTAATGAAGGTAGAGGAATTTCTGGTGCCACTGAAAATGGAGGTAATGGGCATGCCAGACGCAGATGGAGAGAGAAATCAGCTACAAGGGATGTGCTGATGGTGAACTCACAAGTAGCAGGTATGCAACCTTCAACCTCTTTTGATCATATGGGCAATCCCATGCTTGGTGCAGGGGTGACTCAAATGTTTTGACTAAGAATAGATCTTGTGTTCGAAATGATCCGAGATCCCTGGTAGAAATGCATTGCATGGCCCTTAGTAAACAAATGGGCAGGGTTTTGGTTAGACTACCCAAAGAGGTAGCCCAGGAGGGATATTCCAAGTGGGAAGCTAGTATGGTGGGGTACTTTAATGGCAAGAAATTTCTTTTCCA